ATTAGCAAACTCATATATATATATATATATATATATATATATATATATAATCACAATTAAAGAAACATAAATAGTTTAATTTTGTCATATCTTTTTCTTTCTATGAGGACTATTGTTTGCTCTACTCTTTTTACCAAAATAATTAGAAATAGTTTACATCATATATGTTGGAACAATTAGTTTAGATAAAGGGATTGAATAGTTTTTCACTTTCATTTCGTATAATTATAATTGATGGTCTATTATCGAATAAATAAAGCAATGTTAAATCTCTCAATTGAGTTAAATTTACTTCTTCCTTAATATGTTTCATTATTTAAAAATAAAAATTACAAATTAAGTACATCAACCACTCTTAGTTAACTTTCTTATCATTAGTATAAAAGGATCTCACAATCTTAGTATGTTTACACTCGAAGTAGACAAATTCTATGTTAAATGATGTCAAACTATCTTAGATTTGACGTCATTTAACGTCTGTTGGTCCTAAAATTTTTAACTCATTTCACTTTATCTTGCCATTGTGGTGATTGTTTGGCTGAAACTTTCATTCTCTCTTAATTATTACATTTCACATTAAAGTTAAAGGTAAAGTTTTTGTGTTTTTAGCTTAAGTGAGTTTGTAAACTTTAAATGGTAATAATTTGATATAGATATGGAATGAAAATGCTAGAAAAATGAAAGTTGTTGGAAGTGGGGATGATGAATGCTCTAGCCATCATTTAAGATTTTTTTTTTTGGAATGATATGAAATTTTTAAAAATCCATCGTTTAAGGTATATTTTTTATTTTCTTTGTATTTTCACTTATTTTTCTATACACTTTTATTTTAGATATCCATACTATTTCTAAAATTATAGAAATTTTTGTGTTATATTCTTGTACTATATATTGATTTTTCATGATTTTATTGAAGGAAAATATTAATAAAAGTTTTAAAAAAGAAACATACCAATAATTTGATATTTGTTGTTTATGCAAGAGATGTCAATTAATTTGGATGTGACATACATTAATTAATGTTTATCCAAAAATAATTTTCGTTAATTTGACTTCTCTTGCTATTGCATTGAATTTTCAATAAAATAATTATAAAAAAATAAATTTTCAATAAAATAATTATAAAAATAAAATTTTCATATTAAAAAAATTAAAAAAATTAATATCAAATGTGAAAAATTTATGTATATAGAATATTATTTCTATTATATATTAAGACTCTTCTAGATATTTGTCTATGTGATGTTTATTACTAGAGAACTTGCATTGCATCTAATGCTGACGATATACAAGTGTGTATGTATCTATGTGCTCAACTCTAGTTAAAAAAACAAAAAGTGAAAGACGTTTTGAAATTCTAATATATATTGAATATTTTAAATTGAGGAGTGAGCCTGGGAGAAGGATCGGGTGCAACAATGTCAGATGACGAAGAGGACTTTCAAATGGATGGGTCTTTAGATCAGTCTAGCGCTGAGGGGCAGGACATGATGGGATTTGGTCCATTGCTTCCTACAGAATCTGAAAGGTCCCTCATGGAAAGAGTTCGTCAGGAGCTCAAAATTGAGCTCAAGCAGGTCATTCTTACAACTCAATAATCAATGTGCATGATGTCGTGCAAGGGTGTGTCATTCACAATCTCCTTTTTCCTTCTTAAGTGGGTTTGAACCAAAAACCAGATTTGATATCTGCAGGGTTTCAAGTCAAGAATCGAAGATGTTAGGGAGGAAATATTAAGGAAAAGGAGGGCCGGGAAATTGCCTGGGGACACAACATCGGTTTTAAAGGCATGGTGGCAGCAACACGCTAAATGGCCCTACCCAACTGTAAGTAAACAATAAACCATCTTCTACTTGAGCAATTGGGTAGCAATCATTCTACTTGTTGCTAATTTTGTTCTTCTTTCAGGAAGATGACAAGGCAAAACTTGTGGAAGAGACAGGGTTGCAGCTGAAGCAAATTAATAATTGGTTCATCAATCAAAGGAAACGCAACTGGCACAGCAACTCTCAATCTGTCACCTCTCTCAAGTCCAAGCGCAAGAGGTAGAGAGATTTACTTTCTTCCTGATTCCAAAACACATAGCAACTTTTTTAATTACTTTATGCTTATTTCTGGCAGGGAGTATTCCCACTAAGGATTCCAGTCTGGTGCAGGAGATAAGGTGATGATGCTCTATAACATAAGATGGCTTGTAAATTCTTGGATTATATAACGGATACAGTTTTCTTCTTGCTGTGTGTTGCCTCCGTTTCAAGTGTTTCTTATTTGTAAATTGTGACATTCAACATAATTTGTGGTGGGATTACTTTGCTGAACGACAAAGGGAAATTTAAGGACGAATCCGCTAATGAAATCAAAGTGTTTTTTTGTTCCCCCGATCAGTTGTTAGATGAGATACTAATGCTGCCTGAACAACCAATTAATTAACCATTGTTAAAGTTTTAGAGAGAAATACATGATACGATGGGTGAAAAAACGAAAAAGATACTTGAGGATTTAATGACGGAATATTCTGCTCCTATCCTTTACTTTTCTTAAAATTAGGGAAATTGTCAATCTAGTGATTGTAAAAATAGATAGAAATGAAGATTACTAGTAAAAACTTTACCCAGCAAGTTTGATCCTCTTTAGCTAGTAGTCACAGATGTTAAAGAATAAACTCCCAATATGCAAAACTATTAAGAGATAAAAAAAATTTATCGAAATCTATTATAATATAAGAAAAAAGATATTATTAAATTTATTTTATTACTTATCTTATTTTATTAACAGGTGTTTAAAAAATAGTTTTTTTATCATTTGATATTTTTCATATTTTTTATTTGTATTTATTTTGCTGCATGAAAGTTATTTTATTTTTTTATCTATTTATTATATTTTTTAATTTACATTTATTTTATATTTATTATTTTCTTAAATTTAAAATTTTAATATCAATCTCAGAAATATTCATTATGTATAAAGTTCAAATTATATTGTTAATTAATATAATTTAGTATATATTATTTTTAAAAATTATTTTAAAAACTTGTCGCTTTTTAAAATAAATAAATAACTATTTCTTTTAATGTGTGTTTTAAATATATTTTAATCATTATTAAAAAATTAATATATTTTTAATATATTTTATTAAAGACTAACTTATATTTAAAATATAATTTCTTTGTTTTATATTTTTTTTCATTTTTAATTTTATTTTTTTATAATTTCTAATTACTTTAATAAATTGTTAAAGAATAACTTATATTAAAGTATTATTATTTTCTATACTATTTTTCTCATTTCTCATTTTCTCTTTTATGATTTCTAATTATTTGGTTGGTCATTTAATTTACTTCTTAAAATAGTATTATTTAAAAATTAATATATTTATTAAAAATACAAATTTTTTATACTTTCATATAAAAGATTATCTCCCATATGATTTTTTTTCTTTTCTTAATCAACGTAAACCACGATAGACATTCCTAAAAATTATTTTGAAAATTAGTTAATTTTTGAAATACATAAATATTATTTTAGTATATGTTCTTTGATACATTTTAACTATAATTAAAATTTTTTGTTTAATGTACTTTTAATATACTAATTGAATAACTTATATTTAAAGTATTAATTATTTTTTCTATGCTATTTTTTTCATTCTTAATTTTATCCTTTTATAATTTTTAATTATTTGGTAATTTAATAATTTATTAATAATTAACTTATATTTAAAGTATTAATTCTTTTTTATATTATATTTTCTCTTTTAATTTTGTACTATGATCTTTAATTACTTTGTCATATAATAAAGTTAAATTTTAAAAAATATATTTTAGTTTAATGTATTAAAATAATCTTATTTTAAAATTTATATAGATTTATTAATAATACAAAGTATAAAAACATTGTCACGTAATAATTTTATTTTAAAAAAACTGTGAATAAAAATTATATTTATCATTATTATATTAAATTATTATATATGTGACACCTGGGCACTAACAAGAGGGCGGGGAGTGACGCCGGTGCAAGAGGCATAGTGCAAAGGACACTGACAAGAAGCGGCTCCTGGCAAGGCTTCCAGTGGAAGGGACACATGGATGAATCGAACATACACCGGAATGAGAGGGATCCAGAGACTGTGTAGGTATAGGACTATACAGTTGAAGGATAGCTTAAAGGGATTGATTTGGCTACTCATATCACCAAATGCATTTGTTTTTCGGTAGTCTGACCCATAAGAACTCCATGGTTAAGCGTGCTTGGCCTCGTGATGATCTGTGGGGGCAGTCGATGTTTACAATATACATTTTCTTTATACTTTTATTATATAAAAATTAAACTAATATTATTTGATAAAAGTTTAAGTGTGTTTTAATGTTTAAAGTTGAATGTAAGATTATAATTTGTTCATAAAATTATAATTATGACTAAAATTTTGATACAATTTATGGATATAATCCTTTCAATATAATGATGTTAATTTGTTTGCATCTTAAATTATTTTTCAAACTAACATTTGAATTAAAATATCTAAAAGTGTTTAACATAATTAATTCAAAAAAAAATTAGTTTTACATTGAAACTAAAAACATATTTAACTCTTTAAATAATTATATTTATCATAAAATAAATAAAAATATTATACTTAATAGTTTATTTCAAAAGTTTAGTAATAAAAAAATAACATTTCATAATATTATAATTTTTTCAGAAAATTCATTTTTCACTCTAACTTCATGTAGTTAATGCTTGTAACTTTAATAAAATAAAATAAAATGAAAACAACCAACTAATTGTCTTTAAATACATTAGTATCTATATTGTTATTAAACAAGTTTATATATATATATATATATATATATATATATATATATATATATATAAAATTATATCACTAGAGGAATCTAACAATAAAAATTATATGAGTATACAAAAAATATTAAATAAAAAAAATATCTTATATTTAAAATATTGAACTTTGTTATATTATATTTTTATTTTTATTTTTATCTTTTTTGTGATTTCTAATTACTTATTTATTTAATAAAATAAAATTTAAAAAAATTATATTTTACTTTTATTTCTTAAAATAATATTATTTAAAAATAATATATAAATTAATTTTAAAATTAGTTTTATTCAAAACTTAATTATATACTTGAAAATATTTATTATTTTTTTCTGGATATGTAATTTTATTTTAATAAATACACAGGAAAAAAATCAATCTTGCTTAGACATAAACTAGTTATTATATAAAATGAATACAAAATTTATTTTATAAAATTAAATTAAATTTAAAATTCATTTTTTAACTTTGTATTGTATTAAAATTATATTAAAATTTGTCTGAATAAAATTTATCATTTTATTAGTATTGTCTAATTAATTCTACGTTTGATATGCATAAAAATGTTATGTTGTTATGATAACTAATTTTGAGACCTGTAATTCTGGTGAGTAAGGCTACCGAAGTGGTTTGTCGGTGGAGCGAACAGAGGTTCGGGCATCTTAGATTTCTGTTACGTGTTGATGTGTATATTTTAGGGCTGCTAATGCAAAACGTGGTGTATATTTAATGATTATGTAAGAAAGTGACAAATATGTAGATAATGATGTCTAGTTTGGCGGTGCACGAGGTTAATTTGTATTACTTTTGTTAAATTTTATTTTAATTTTAGAAAATGTATAATTAATATTTTATATTTAGGCTGAATACCATTTTTTATTTATTTTTTTATTTAAGTGTTTAAAATAATCTTAATTTTCGCAATTTATGTATAGTTTAGTTTTTTTTCATGACACTATCGACAATGAATGTTAGTTCATAGTTTTTATAATTTTATTTTATTTTATTTTTTTAGATTTTTTCTTAATTTAGAATAAGGATATTTACATCTCAAGTTAATATTGTGTCATATGATAATGTTAGTATCATGTATTAAAACAATATTAGTGTTACATATCAAGTTAGTATTAGTGTCACATATTAGTGACGGTGTCACCCGTCAAGGTCTTTTATTCAATTCAGACTAATTCTTATTATTTTTGTTTAATTTAATCTTAATTTTTATTAATTTTGTTCAAATCCATTCCCAAACTTGTTCCCTCTAAATTGAGATCAAATTTAATTTTTATTAAAATTCACATTTTTGTTAAATATTTTTATTATTTTAAACCAACCCTAACTATATTATTTTTTTAGAAGTATCTCCTTCAACTACTCCAATGATTTTGTAAAACTTTTATCGATCCATTAATTCTTACTTTTAAACTAAATAATTTCAAAATTACCGACAATTGTATAAAGTTAGAGTATCCTAGAAACAACTTTTACTCTGAATCGAACTTAAGAGAATAATATAAATGAGTTCTTCTAAAAAAAGTTTCACCAACATCACGTATCATGTCCTCGATATGATCATTCATCTATTCGCTTACAAAATATGTTCCTCGTGATGTTATTTGTGTAATAATTCTTCATGACAAGTCCAAACTCTATAAACTCATCATTATATCAAAGATGAATATATGATCATGTATGTTGTTCAAGTCCTGTTGTATTTGATTAAAACAATGAACACAAGGAAAAAAATATGTCTCTTTCACAAAGATTGTGTGTTTTTTAACATATTGCAAGAATTCAGAAACTCCATTTTCATACCTCTTCACATATGCGACATTCATTCATTCAGTTTTGATCCATACTATGTTCGTAATAAACTTCAACAATCTCAAATTTTTAACTCTCATAAGGTTAGGTCCTACCTATTCTAAAAAAATATTTTTCATAATTTGCTAAAACGTATACAAAGAAGTCTAACATCATAAACTTGATAAAATTTCGGTAGCATTTTGCATTCACTAGTAAAAACCAGAGATATTATAACGCTTGTTATGCCTCGGTTCATCAGAAACTGAAGCATATAATGACGTGGTGGCATTTTTGAAATTTTCTTGACGGCCTCAGTTGTTTTAGAATTGATGCCATATAGGGTATATGGCCTTGGTTGTCTGCAGAACCGAGGCCAAAAATCCCTGCAAGACTCTGACATTCCACATTTGCAGTATGTTGTCATAAAGGATGCACCCAGACCATCATGGATTTAGCCTCGATTCTAACGGGGACTGAGGCAAAAAAGTTGAAAAAAAATCAAAATTGCCATTTCAGATCAATTTTGATTTTTTTTTAATAGAATAGGCCTCAGTTAGACAGGGAACCGAGGCCATATCCTTTCGTAGTTTTTTTTTATTTCGAATTTTTTTCTAAATGGGTTCAGACTAAGAACCCTAATCAGAAAACTCTTCCCCATTCTCTTCTCTGTTCCAGTTAGCGCGAGAAACCAACTTCTTCCTCTTTTTCTTCTCGCAAACCACCCAGTCTTGGGGCCG